TTGGAGTCTAACAAAACTAATAGAACTATTAGATAGCAAGGTTATCTAATAAAATGAATTTTGAGATTTTTGAGTTAAATAGGTAATTAGGAAAATTATAAATTTAATGGTAGATTGATGATTTTGAGTTGTCTAATTATAGGTTAAACTCTCTTGAGCTCTTGAAGTATTTGGGAGCTTAGAATTAGATTGTGTCCACAGGTGTCCCTTTTGGATGACTTAAGGGATGGAGGTAACTAAGAACTTAAATTTCCTTATATGCTTGTTTAAGTATTTTTGGTATTTTGAAAGTATGAAAAATATGTTTGTATATGAAAATTCTCTTTATATTTTAGAAATGTTGTAAAGTGGGTTTGTGTAAATGTAGTGAAAATGTGGTTGAAGTTAGTAAACAATGATATGTTAATGAACATATGATGATTTGAGAAACTTGATGAACAATTGAGATTTTAAAAAAATGAATAGAAGAATATGTGAGTATGTAACTATGTTATTGAAAAGGCACAATTATTGTGGTAATTATATATATATATATATATATATAGATGCATATGCATAGTAAAATGGGTGAGAGTTTATCCTAGGTAGGAGTGTTGTATTGTAAGTTCACGTGGCATGAATAAAACTTGGGTAGCTCCCAGTTTTGTATAGTTTGTGGCACTTACTTTGATAGGATTTGGGTGTGGTTTCAGCTTAACTAAGGATACTCACTTTGAGAGTAGGTATATATTGCCATCAATAAATGATAGCTTAGGGGAATTCGATTAACATGGGAGTCTATAGTCCAGGTTTGGGAGCAGTGACCTTTAGTTGAGTTACTTCTCGAACATTAGAGAGCTTGGCCTAGCCCGATCAAACAGATTGGTCCTCTTATGAATAATAGCCCATGAACTTGGTCAAATGAAATAAGAAGAAAATAAGTGAGGTGATGTACACTAGTTGCTTAAGCACCCAAATTAAACTAAGAAATACCATAATGTGTATAGGGAGCAGCCTAGATCAAATCTCTTATCGAGTTAATTAAAAATTAACATCTTGGTTATTTAAATCTACCAAGAACAATAACAATTTGATTGGGGTTTGATTGATTAGGAATTAAAGAAGCAAAGATTAAATGAAAACTATTTTTTTAGGTATTTTCAAGATTTTTGACAGATTTGGAAAATGGTTGAAATGTGTGATTAAAATGCAAATTGATGGTCTTCCTAGGCACATGAACTCTCTCTCTTATCCTTGCTATATCTACTTAATTTTCTCTTAACCCTAATTAATTTTAAAGTCATCCTAATAACAACTAAGAATTTGGCACTCTTAGATTCTTTAAATTAACTAGGACCTTAAATTAACCCTTAGAACTAATTATGCTTAAAAATGACCAATTAATTATGAAGTTAATTACCAATTCTAGCCCTTGTCTTAACCATCTCAAATTGAATAAGAAAATAATTAGCCAACCCTAAGTATGCTTAATGTATAACTATGACTCACAAGCTCACAAAAGGCAACTAGAAATTAAATGGAATGAGGGATTGAATAAAATAAAGATTTGGACAGCACTAAAATCACTATGACAACACCTCAATTAGCAAATAAACAACATAATAACCTCATATAATACTTAACTAAGTATCACAAAGTTCAAATCCATCAACTATTGTCATTACAATGTCATAAGCGTCAAAATTTAAGGAATTAAACAAGAGGTAAGAGATAAGAGGAACTCCCAAATCCAAGAACTCAAAAAGAAATCATCCATGCATCTTAGGAAGAGAAGATAAGCCTAGCCACACCTCATCAGCAGCCCCATAGCTTCTCCTTGTTGACCAACTTTGGAAACCACCATGGATGAAGACATTGAGATTTGACCAAGATGGAAATGGAATAGATGATAGATTTTTTTAGTGGGTTTTGTTGAGGAATATTAGGGGAGTTGAATGGTGGGTTTAGATAGTGCAATGAAGGGTTTTAAGGTGGAGAAGTTATGAAATGGAGGCTAGGGTTCATGGCTGTTCTTGAGAGAAAAGATGAAGATGAATGGAGGTGGAAGATGAGTGAAAAATGTGAATGAGGGGCTGTTGATGTGGAGCACAAAATTCTAATTATTTTGGGGTGTTTGAGGTCATTTAGATCAATCTAATAGCTAGGAATCATGCCTACTAAGTGCACTAAAGTGATGTGAGCGTTGCATGCATCTAAGGGTCCTTTCATATGGTGTTTCATGTATGGCCAAGGATTTTGAGAATAAGTTATTTAAATGGTAGTAAATGGAAATGAAAGGTGTCTAATAATCTGAAAATGGATGGATAAATTCAAAAATAAACATGATGGAGATTGGAGATGATGGAAAAATACACATCAAAAATAAAGGAAAAAGTAATTAGTTTTGGAAGATGAAATTATCATGACTATCCTTGTGCTTTCTTGAGATTTCATGAACAATTTGTGGCCTTTTGATCATCATAATAGCTCATTCAAGGGCTCCAATTTGTGTAAGGGGATGCCATCATCATCCAAGAACTTTTCATGGCTTAAAATACATAATGAACTCATTAAATAGTAAGTTGTGCATAAATAATTCTATGTGTCTTATGAATCTATCCAACTTAGATGTAAACTATGAAAATGTAATAAAATGAATTAAGGTGATTAAATAGAATATTAAGAGATGAATTTAGTTAGAGAAGTTTTTTAGGAGTTCTTAATTATAAAAACTAAACGTAGTACACTTCCAAAATTTATAGAAAGTACAATTAAAATATAAAAGTATATACTTTAAAGGATATTTTAATAAAAAACTCACAATTTAAGTTGAATTAACTCAAATTAAACTTATGATATTAATGAAGAACTAAAAATTAGCAAATGATGAATTTTCTATTTTTCCTAATTAATTTTCAAAAATTACAGTTTTGCCCCTAAACTTTCATAAATTTGCACTTTTGCCCCAAAAGTTGTGGAAATTACAAAGTATCCCAAATGATTTTAATTGCTTCTAATATGAACAAAATACCCCTAAAAAGTGTCAAAATTTAGGAAAAATAATATGCACAAATGATAGTTATCGAGGGAAAATTAATGATCTTGCAAGCCTAATTGTAATATTATGATTAACAAATGCGTTTACCTATTTTACACGCCATTAAATTGTTATGCATGTATATGTTAGAGATTAAGACTTTCTGGTTATTGAGATATTTATTTCACCCTATAGTTTAATATTTTACATGTAAAGTCTTGGCTAGTGGCAAGGGGAAGGATTTAGAGGCTCAAAACTATATTTGAATCTTGCATAGCCACCATTTTATTTTGTGTAGTAGAATATTATTATATTCCCAATATTGGGACATATTATACATTTATGTTTGTAATGTTAATTGTGATTGAACGTTGTGGTATGTCTAGCCCTTTTTGGTTAGATCAAGATCATTTAAGCTTTTAATTGGGTTAGAGGATTTGTTATTATGAGATGATGATAGTGCTAATTCGAGTTGATAATTGGTTACTATTAAGCATGCCAAAGCTGGTTTTTTTGGACCAAGCTCATTAGGGCTTGTGTATTGGCTAGAATTATTGGTATTAATATATATATATATATATATATTTGAATGATGATGCTCATTGATGGGTGTTAAGTATAATAGAAATTATGGCCTTTTGAAATTTGAATTTACTATTCAGGCTATCAAGTTTGTTATTAGTGTTTGTTTACCACAATGCGTGGCATAGCAAGCTACTGGCCATGGCTAACATTGCCCTAGCCATGACTTAGCATATTTGTGTAGTCCATCGCAACACATAGCATGTTGGTTACAGTGGATGGTATGCAATTTCTTAAAAATATCCTATTAACTTATTTTGTTTCTAGAATGGTCCTTTCAACCTTTTTACTCTTCAAAAACTTGTTTTTGTATGATTTTGTCCCTTGAAACTATGCTTCACTATCATTTATGATTTATATCTTATTTTGGATTTTAAACAGTTGTGTTGGATGGGATCTCATTTGATACACTTGGTACACTCTTAATTAATTTAGTTTTTACTAAATTACTATGATAGGTCTATTTTATTATATTTATTATTTCTATCTTGGTATACCCTTTTCTACCATAATAGTTGACTTCAAAAATTAATTTATTGTTATGAAAAATATTTTCTACAATTGATTTTGAAATAAATAAATACCCCAAGGTGGTGGGGGGCTAAACCAAAACCCCTTGGTAAAAATATAATAACCTTAAGCTAATTATTCTTCTTAATTATATAATGCCAAATAAATATATAATATAAAACTAAACTTTCCAACCAAGACCAAGTAAATTTGCTATTAATGTTACTTGTTAATTCATTAATGCATACTTGTTAATTCACTGTGAAACTTGTGATAATACTTTCTACATATCTAATTCTAGTGGTTTCTTAAAACTCTAATTTAACTTGTTAATTTACTAGCAAAATTTGTTAACAATACCTTATTTATATTCAATTTAGTAACTTGTTAAAATCCTAATTTTAACTTGTCGTTATACTAATATGCTTGGTAATTCACTTACAACACTTGTTAATAATATATAACATTCTACATATTCAATTCATTTTAATAACTTGTTAAAATAGGAAATGGACTCGATAAAATCCTAATTTGTGACCAAGTTTTTTAAAATGAATAATAAGTATGCATTCAAAAAAGATATCTTAGTTATTTAGTATTTTATTTACTTGCGTCTCAAAACATGTAGTGTTATTTAAAAGTTTTTTGTGTTGTCTTATTTGTAAATAACTAATTATTGTGGTCCTTTTTATTTTTCACTTAATTGAATTTTTTTTTTTGGCCAAAAGATTGAATTGAATTGAATTGAATGAAGAATGTCACTGTATACTACAGTCACGGGCCAAAACGACATCCCAATGGTGGTGTGGGTAAAACGACAGATAACAAATGGCTTTCAAAATTCTCATTCACGGTGTAAATCTCAGATCTAGTCACAGCCTGTGCCTCGCTCATTTTTCATGGTCTCTTTCGCTCTCCTCCGAATCGCATCACAATCGGCTCTCTGTTGCTTCATCCTGTTTCATTTTCTTACAGATGAATTCCATTGCACGGTTTTATTCTTCCGATCGAAAAAGGCTTGCATAGAGGGGATTTCATCTGAATCTAGCAAAATCGCACCGATGGCTATAGAACAATGTACGTGTTTCAGTCTTCTGTTCAAAAGGGGCTTAGATGGATGGGATTGCGTCTCAATCAGCGAAACCAGAGTGATTGCTATTGAACATTGTGTGGGTATAATCTTTAGTTGGAGCACTGCAAGAAATCATCAGGGGGTTTTTCTCACAGAACAAAACACAGAGCCACTACATTATCGGAATGTATATTTAGACCAAAGTGGCATAATTACGTCAAGCAAATGCCAAAACAATCTCAAGATTAAGAGTCTCATATCTTCGCTTTATTCGATGCTTCAACCAGCTGATTCATCCAACAACACTGTTCCAAATGCTTCAGCAATTTCATGATGCCCATTTTGCCCTTGCCCGTGTTAGGTATTTTCCCTATCAGATTATAATTTTGTGGATAACTTATATATTTGTCTTATTATTTAATACTAGTAAGAAGTTATCAGTAAAAGTTTATGTTATGAAATAGGGATTGTATCATATACATCGTGAAAATATACGACCATGTCTAACACATTAGAAATTAATTCTCTACTTTTGTCGTCCCTAGTATTCCATTTTTATATATTACATGTATTTAGATTTAGATTACTGAGTCTGGTCATTGTTACCTATTTTCACATAATGAAATGACATTTTCTGCTGGTACTAATTCCCTTTCAATGGGTAACGGTAACTGCTAACCAAGTGCCCAACCTGACTTACTTACATTCTAAATTATATTTTAAAAGTGATGCACGTTTTTAATTATTAAAGATAAACACATAGGTTTCTTGGCCAAACGGGTTTCTTGATTTGTTGATTTCATTCTTTTAAACTTATTGTTTAATCAATAGGTCCCAACTAATTATATATTGCCCTCGCCCCCCACATTTGGATTCTTTCTAACTCCTTAGTGTCCTCACACCTCCCGCCTCACGCATTCAACTTTTTTCTTTCTTCCACAGCACAGCCCTCATCAATTCTAGATTGTCTCTTGCCTTCCAAGCATACGTTTGAATTCTGCTGCGTTAATTAAGTGATGGATAGGAACAAGGACGACAAGAACCTGCCAATTGTGAGTACAACACCTCTTCCTAATTATGTGCTCTCTTTATTATTATTTCTTTTGATTCTTGCGTCTTATTAAACCTGTTTTTTTCTTCGTGGAATCAAGATTCTAATTGAATGAAGAAAAAAACTTCATTTTACATCTTTTTTGTTTTGTTGATTGATTTATTTGCCAGAAATGGTTTTAACAGGAAATTACTCCTTTATTAATTATTATTTATTGTTGTTGGATATGATTCTGATTTCTTGTGTCGTTATTGCTTAATCAACTTGTTGTATGTTTGTTTTGAATTTGGGACATTTCCAAGTTCCTTGCCTTTTCACTGAAATAAAATCACATGAACGTCAACAATTTAGTGTTGAAATATAATAATATCTTTAAAGAGATACATATCAAAGGCCTCAGTTAAACGACATAAAGACAAATAAATTGTGGCAAATGACAAGAAAAGTTATTTAAAATATTTATTTAGATATTTTTTGAATAAAGAGTGTATAGACTATAGACCTTGGATTTTCTTCAATCAAGTGAGTCAAATACTTATTCTTTTTCATATATCCCCTTATTATTAGTTTACACTGTAGAGATTATATAAGAAAAAGTGTAATTAAGATAGATTAATTCTAATTGTAGGATAATCTTAAAAAATAGTGATATTTTTTATCTTTTTAATGATATAAACCATTTTAATAATTATTTTTCTTTGTTACTGTGGAGCAATAAAGTTGTCTTGTATTTTTTTCCAAAAAAAAAAAAAAATTGCCCTATATTTTAACACGTGTCTACCTTACTTGATTCTGCATCTCTTCTTGACCAGCTTTGATATTTCTGCATCCTATTTCTATCAACTGATCATTTCTATTCCTTCTGCATAATCATTTCCTTCCTTTTCTTTTTATAATTTCAAATGCCCTGGATTCGTTTTTGTTTTTCTTTTTTTTTTTTTTGGCCTAAAAAATCAAAATTTTATTAATCACAACAGCAGATATTGCACACACTAATGTTGAAGCCAAAGAAAAACACTCGAAAAAAACCTATCACACAAAGTAACACAACGAAACCAGGAAAAACAAATACAAAACAAACAAACAAACACAAAACAAACTACTAGAAACAAACAAAAACAATCAGAAAACCAACAATTATTAACCAACACCCTTTCTATTTTTTGCACATCACCTGTCAGAATCACCAGACGTGTCAAAACAAAACTCTATCTGCAAAAATCAATCAACTTAGCGAAGGAGAATGGAGGTGCAAGCACCACATCCAAAGGTTGCTTCGACCTTTTAGCAGTGACTGCCAAATGGTCAGCAGCTTTATTGCAGTCTCTCCGAGCCACAGAGAAAGAAAAACAGCCTATAGAATCAGCCAACTTATAATGACCCTACCCTTTTCGTTAATAATGTTATTAGGTTAGGATCACTTAGTTTTAATTCTTTTCGCACCTTTTACCATCAACCCACTCATATTTAAGAGAGGGTAGATTATGAAAGGTGGTGAAGCTGTCTATGTCTAGGTTTGTTTTCCAATACAGTTTCGTATTTTATTAAGAAACTTGTTTTCATCCAAAAAAGAATCAGCCAAGTCAAGACATCTAAGACTCTAACCACACTTGCACTTTTCCAATCACAAGCCAATGCATTCCTGGTATTTGAAGCATTAACAGAATAGTAAAGTCAATCTCAATAGAAACCTTTTTACCCTAGTGTTGATCAATCATCAGCACTGACGAAGCCTCAACGACTGCACCACACCCAGACACAAACTCACACCAAATTCATTTCTACAGATCACCCGTATTCTAGTTCCAGCCAGCCATGCCCCCTTCCCTGAAAAGCTCCATTAGAGTTAATCTTCCAGCTCATTCCGGCCAGGTGGTCACCAAACCCTTCTCTCCTTCTTACGACTTCTAGCCTCAAACACCTTTATCACTTGGGCAACAGCAAACTCTGTTGCAGCAAAAATCAGAAATCCAAATGACTTCTTCAAGATCTACAGGTAAACCTTCTAACACAAACCGGCACCCCATTTTCCATATATACCAGCATAGTGACTCTGGCACTTATCTCTTCTCCATCACCCTAACTCCTACTCAGCCAGTTGCACACCAAGAATCCACCCTTTTAATCTTCCTTCTAGCCACAAACTCGCCAAAACCACATCAAACCACACAGCCCTAACCTATGGGCAAAATAAGAGCAAATGTTCAATCGTTTCCTCCTCACTACCTCAGATCAGACAGCAAGAATCTTTAACAGATTTCAACTCATTCTCACTAGGTGGGCACTAAACCCTTCTCTCCTTACAACTTCTAATCTCCATCACCCTTTTCACTTAAGCAAAATCGGAAAGCCAAATAACTTCTTTAGGATCTGCAGGTAAACCATTTAACACAAACCGATACCCCATTTCCTTATATACCAGCATTTAATAGTAACTCTGGCTCTCATCTCTTCCCATCACCCCAACTCCTACTCAGCCAAGTTGCACGCTAGAAATCCACCCTTTTAATTTTCCTTCTATCCACAAACTCACAAACCACATCCAAACCATACAGACTTTACCCCTGGGAAAATAACAGCTAATATTCAATTGTTTCCTCCTCACTACAAGGATCTGTTACATATTTCACTTCACAACCTTCCAGACAAAATGTTGAATCTTTGGCAGACATTTCAACCTCCAAATCTCCCCCCAAACTTCTCGAGGTGCCTGTATAGAAGTGCATGAATCTCCTATCTTTTGCTTTCTCAAACTCATCGCATAATGATAACCCAAGTTCACAGTGTAAATACCATTGTTAGCACCATCCCAGAACACTCTGACAGGCTTACTCCGTATTGGTAGTTTTATTCTTCTTATTGCTTCAAGCACTTCATCCTCTACCCTTCCTCTTAAAAACCCCTCCACCTCCCATTTTCCATCAACTATAAGTTCCTTCACCCTTCTATCCAGCTCAAGAGCAGACCAGAAATCCTCGCAACTTACCATCACAAACACCCGCTCAGTCCACCAATCTTTCCAAATTCTAACAGTACAATGCCACCAAAGGCTTGTACTTAAGCACATCCCTACTTTCCAAAAAGCTTAAATCAGCATCTCACTCGATCTAACTTCCGTTGAATTTATCATATTTGCCTTATCTGCACCATCATTTAAATTCCTTTTCTTTATATAATCTCAAATGCCCTAAAATTTTAGAAAAAATTTTAAAATATGCTAGCATGTTACTAATTGAAAGTTAAATGTTTTGCAGCATAAGCTCTACATCCCTGCTGGAGGGGATAAGGAGGCACAACAGCTCCTGATTTATCCGCCTGGGACACCAAA